CCCATAAAATAAGGGATTTAATTGTAATGTGTTTTTTAATGTTTTTATCATTTTGGCGAGAAAGTGTTTTGGCCATAAAAACCTATTTTTACATTTTTCTCATCTTTTTTGATAATTTTTTAAAAAAAACCCTTTGGCACAAATTGATTTCTTTAAATTTCTTTTTTTTTTTTTACTACTTTTCGACTTCATTTGGATGTGTTATGTTGATCACGCTTTAAATATATTTTTATATTTTTTTGGATTTTTATGTTTTTAGTACTTTTTGAGCTGGCCGGGACCTCCTCAGTTAGGCCGGTTGAACCAGTCGGTTTGATGTTTACTTGAACATGGCCCTTGGCTAGTTTCTGAGGCAGGTTTGATTTTTCGTACACTGCTCCTTAGTGAATAATGATAAGGAAAAATTATGAACTGATCTCAAAAAATTAAAATATTAGGTTATGGAATCTAGATGTTCAAGTATTCTATGCCGAAGTCCATCCCCATGCCATTTTTATTTTTTTCTAATTTTGCTCCCCGTTCCGTTGTTTACAACACTGGACCTTTTTTAATTCAATTTTTTTTTATTTTTTTAAAGAATTGGATGCATATTAGCAGCCACTCTAATATTATGAACATAGGCCATCTTATTCAATGCCCCAATTATGACATGGACTGCCTAAACATCACTTTGGCTTTGCACGGTATCACAAATATCGGATCACCTCAGACTTTGAAATTTTTAAAGTTTTGAGGAGTCCAATATTTGTAAGACTGCATGCTAGGTCTAGTTAAAACTATCGCAAGTCACATGGTTCAATGTTAAAAAATCAGACCGCTTATTATAGTATTGTTTGTTGTTTGGAACATTGGATTGCTAGGCCTACTTAAAACTTTCGCAGGCCAGATGGTTTGTTGTTTTAAATATCAGACCTGTGACTATAGGGATGTCCGATACTCGGAAGATCTGACCAATCTACATATCAAAAACTTAAAATAAAAAAGTGGTCAAATATTACAAATATCAGAACCCCCAGTTGGGGTGGCGGGGAGGGGTGTTGAAATTAGAAAACAAAAAGAGCACTACGAGTGGAGTAAAATACTTGAAAACATGGATCATCATGTTGTATCCCATTGTTTAGGTCCGTACATAATTTTTATTAAAGTGATTTATGTACTGACCTTAAAATTTTAGGTAAAACACAAAATACTCTATTTCTAG